AAACCGAAGACAGGTAACACAACAGGTAACACAACACAGGTAAAGGAAGGACAGGTAACACAACACAGGTAAAGGAAGGACAGTAACAAAACACAGGTAACACAACACAGGTAACACAACACAGGTTAACACAACACAGGTAACACAACACAGGTAAAGACAGGACAGGTAACACAACACACAGGGTAAAGACAGGACAGGTAACACAACACAGGAAGGAAGGGACAGGTAACACAACACAGGTAAAGGAAGGACAGGTAACACAACACAGGTAACACAACACAGGTAAAGGAAGGACAGGTAACACAACACAGGTGTAACACAACAAAGGTAACACAACAGAAGACAGGACAGGTGGTAACAACACAGGTAAAGGAAGGACAGGTAACACAACACAGGTAACACAACACAGGTAAAGACAGGACAGGTAACACAACAGGTGCTAACACAAAACATGCAACACAGCATAAACAACTCAACACAGGCATAAACACTCAGCACAGGTAGCACAACACATGAACACAAAAACAGGTAACACAACACATGATCTACCTAGTATAAGACACACACGAACAGTGACCTAACTTAAGCGATAACTACACCGTAATGATTTAAGTTCATCAGCAGGTTTATGGTGAGACACTCACGCAACATTGAGGAGTTGAGTGCGCACGCCTGCCACGCACGCGCGGACGCTATAGATCATGCTGAGATTCCCGGACACACAAACACCTCACATATGGTGGCTTAGTGGCCGTATGTGTGTTGGTTATATTTGTATATATCTGTCTTATCTATCAGTATATAATAACTTGAAGTGTATATTTGTATGAACACACACACACACACACACATAAAAAAAAAAAAAAAAAAAAAAAAATATATATATATATATATATATATATATATATATATATATATATATATATATATATATATATATATATATATATATATATATATATATATATATATATATATATATATATATTACACAGATACTGTAGACGTTGAAAAAGATGTGTTTAATATATACAGTATGTTTGTGTCTATATAGGAGAAAATTCCAATAATTAGTCTCATAGCAATCAAAACACTCCCTCCTCCCTACACTCTCTCCTCCCTACACTCCCTCCTCCCTGCACTCTCCTCCCACACTCCCTCCCTCCCCACACCTCCTCCCACCCTCCCTCCTCCCCACACTCCTCCTCCCCCACCCCCTCCCCCTCCCCACACTCCCCTCCTCCCCACCCTCCCTCCTCCCCACACCTCCCTCTCCCCCACACACCCTCCTCCTCCCCACACCCCCTCCCTCCACACTCCCTCCCCACACCCCTCCTCCCACACCCTCCTCCCCACACTCCCTCCCCACACTCCCTCTCTCCCCACACCTCCCTCCCCCCACACTCCCTCCCTCCCCACCCTCCCTCCCTCCCCACACCCTCCCCACACCCCCCTCCCTCCCACACCCCCTCCCCACACTCCTCCTCCCCACACTCCCTCCACCCCTCCCCTCCTCCTCCCCTCCCCACACTCCTTCCCCACACTCCCTCCACTTACACTCCCTCCTCCCCACACCTCCCCTCCCTCCCCACACTCCCCCTCCTCCCCACACCCCCTCCTCCCCACACCCTCCCTCCCCACACTCTCTCCACCCCACCCCCTCCTCCCCACACTCCCTCCCCACACCTCCTCCCCACCCCTCCTCCCCACCCCCTCCCTCCCCCACCCTCCCCTCCCCCCACACCCCCTCCTCCCACACCCTCCCCTCCTACACCCCTCCCTCCCCACACCCCTCCCCTCCCCACTCCCTCACAACCCACACTCCCTCCCCACACTCCCCTCCTCCCTACACTCCCTCCTCCCTACACTCACCTCCTCCCACACTCCCTCCTCCCCACACTCCCTCCTCCCCACACCTCCCTCCCCCCACACCCCCTCCTCCCCACACCCCTCCCTCCCCACACTCCCTCCCTCCCCACACTCCTCCTCCCTCCCCCACACCCCCCCTCCCTACACCCCTCTCCCCCACCCTCCCTCCTCCCCATACTCCCTCCTCCCCACACCCCCTCCCTCCCCACATCCCTTCCTCCCTATACCCCCTCCCCCTCCCCCACCTCTCCTTCCCAATCCTCCTTTCCCACACTCCCTCCCTCCCTCCCACACCTCTCCCTCCCTACACTCCCTCCCCTCCCTACACTCCCTCCCTCCCTACAATCCCCACCCTCATCCCTACACTCTCTCCTCCCCACACCCCTCCTCCCTCACACCTCCTCTACACTCCTCCTCCCCCACCCCTCCCTCCCCTACACCCCCTCCCCCTCCCCACACTCCCTCCCTACAATCCCCACCCTCCCTCCTCCCTACACCCTCTCCTCCCCACACCCTCTCCTCCCCACACTCCCTCTTCCCCACTCCCTCCTCCCCACCCCCTCCCCTACACCCTCCCTCCCTACACCCTCCCACACTCCCTCCTCCCCACACCCTCTCCTCCCTATACTCCCTCCCACATACACAGGTCACGCCTTACACCTCTACCACACTCCCTCCACACACACACATGAGCCCCATCCTTCCCCACAACTCTACCACATTGTCGCCTCCACACACACACACACACACACACACACACACACACACACACACACACACCTCCTGCCTCATCGTACTACCTTTGGACAAAATCCCATTGAACAACCTCACAAAAAAATTCTGCCTCCTAATTTACCGCTTGAAAAAAATGAACCGGACACTTCCTCTGGACAGTAGCTTTAAGGACAAAATTTATCCGGACATATTTCCATTGGACAAAATCTCATCATGTTAAGTTTAACTCTTAATACCTTGTCAGGGTTAAGTTAAGTTATGCTAAATTTGGTTAGATTCGGTTAAGTCCAATTAGGATTTGGTTTGGTTACGATAAGTTGGGATATATAAACTTACTTTGGTTAGGTTAAGTTAGGATTAAGTTCAATGCGGTTAAGTTGTGTTAGCTGAGGTCTAGTTAGCTTTAGTTCCATTAGGTTAAGTTAGGTTAAGTTAATCAAGGCTAAGCCATGTTAAGTTAAGTTTGGGTGATGAGCTTAAGCTATTTTACACGGGCTTTAGGTTAGGTCCTGTTAGGTTAACTTAAGTTGCTAAGGTCGCCTTGAATTAAGTTAGGTCAGGTGAATTTCGGCGAGGTTAATAATAGGTTAGGTTAGGTTAGGTAACATTTGGTTCAACAACTGGTAAAGATAATTCATTGGCTGCGATACGTTACGCTGGAAGAAAAAATATAACTTCCCTCAAATGCAAATAACATCTTTTAGTCAGGTCACGACGGGCGGACATTCGGCTAACCTAATAAAAAAAAGATTATGATTAACCCCTTCAGTAAGATGATTTAACCCTTTGAGTACGATAATTTAACCCTTTGAGTACAATGATTTAACCTTTTGAGTACGATGGTTTAACCCCCGAGTAAAATTATTTACTCCTTTGAGTACGACGATCTAACACCTTTTAGAACAATTATTTTACTTAACCCTTTGATTACGGTGATTTAACCCCTTGATTAAGACTATTTAACCCCTTGATTATGAATACTTAACCCTTTGAGTACGATTATTTAACCCTTTGAATACGATAACTTCTTCACGTAAGATGATTTAACTTCTTGATCATGACGATTTAACCCCTTGAGTACCATGATTTAACCCCTTGAGTACCATGATTTAACCTCTCTGAATACGATGATTTAATCCCTTAAATACGATGTCATCATACAAATAGGAACTGATCATTGCATTCGAAGTGTTACGACATCGTACTCGAGGGATTAAGACATCGTACTCAAGAGGTTAAGACATCGTACTCAAGAGGTTAAGACATCCTACTCAAGAGGTTAAGACATCGTACTCAAGAGGTTAAGACATCGTACTCAAGAGGTCAAGACATCCTACTCATCGGGTAAATCTGGGTTACTCAATGGTAGTTATCAAACACTATTACATGTCAAACGTCTGGTTTTCCCTTCCCATGTTCGAAAAGTTTAGCCGAAACACCCTGTCAGAACGTTCGATAAGTCGTACCAATATGTGGTGTTGGTAATGTTCGAAAAGTCGTACCAATATGTGCTGTTAGATGTTCGAAAAGTCGTCCCAATATGTGTTGGTTCGAAAAGTCGTACCAGTATGTGTTGGTTGTTCGAGAAGTCGTATCAATATGCGTTGGTTGTTCGAAAAGTCGTACCAATATGTGCTGTTAGACGTTCGAAAAGTCGTATCGATATGTGCAGTTGGTATTGTTCGAAAAGTTGAGACAAAAAACAACAACATTAATATTGTTCGAAATTTTGATGAAAGAAGCACTGTGTAAGACTTAAATTGGAAATAATGACACGATACGTAATTTTGGGTCAGCGCTCAGGTAAAGCACTCATCACACACCTTCCTCGCCAACACCTGTTAACAACGCCATCTTTATAGGTGAATTGTACGTCAGTTACGGTCAGCCCACCATTATACTGTGTACCAGGAACACCTGTACAACATACCATAAACACTTGTACAGACACGCACTCATCCACGACGGCCTACGCCACACATGCTAATCAGCGGCACCAGCTTGACTGGAGTACACACACACACACACACTCCTAACCTACTGAAACACGTAACACCATTTCACAGCTTTTTCAGCAGTATATCAGCTAAAACAGTACGTATAGTAAGACTGTATATTAGTATTATAGTTTTAGAGACTCGACAATTGGTTAAATGTTGTTAAAAATATTGAAAAGTGAGTTTTAGGATGGTTGGTGGGCCGGACACCTTAACAGATGTTTGGTGTATCTCCGTACTGGTGGACTAAACAACCTCACCCACACAACACCGTTTGTTGACATTGTGACGCACACGGTGACCTGTACACCTCATGCAGTGACTTACGCGGGCTGGGAAAAAGTAGAGGAGTGAGACAGACACACACTGTTAGGCTAGACTGGTACAGTTAGTTACCTCTCCTCAGTCGCCCTCCGGTCAGGTGCTCACCACGACTGGTAAGATGGTGGCGCTGTCAGCCCTGTGTCCCGGATGGTGACGTCACAATATGGCCGCCCTCCTCGCGTGGTTGCCGATTGATTCTCGCCCGTCGCCTCTAACAGCCTGAAATATTTTGGAAAAAAATGGTTATTTGTACCGTTATGAAGACTTAGTATTACGACAATACTGTCATAATAACATATTTTTATCATACAGATGATAATGAAGAACTCAGAGCAGTGTCTTCCCTGAAATAATCCACCCAGACCCGAGTTTCCACCAGTCTACCCCAGATAAAACACCTGACAATATGCGCATTAATCAAAGATTTTATTTTAAAATTCTACCCAGAACTCATCCGAAATTTTAGCGCACTTACAAATAACGCTATACTATTTTCCTTATCCGGGTGACAAAATACGAAGTAAGAGAAAGGTGAATAATCTAAAATAGAAGATAAATAAGTGGTTGGCGACTCAGGCGAGCGGGTCTGTGTGGGCTGGAGTGTAGGCTGATGTAACAGTGTTGCCAGGTATAGGGAAATTTCCCGTTTTCAGGGGAAAATTACCCCTAGAAGGGGAAAAGGGAAAAAATTAAAATTGGTCCAAATCTAGGGAAAATGACATTGAAATAAGGGCATTTTGAAAGAGTACCAAAATATTTCGTCGATGATTCAAGTTTGTGTCAGTCGGCGCTCTTACCCCCACTCTCTCCAACCACAAGGTATTTTGTTCTTTAAACAATCTTGCCAACAAGTTGTTAAACTAACCAAACTACTTCGTTCTGTATTGCGTTGTATTGGCACAATATTAATTTTGTTTACATTCCCCCGCTCCTCTGGTCACCCATCTACACCAGCAGGTCCCCCTCCTCTCTGCTCTTCCCTGTCCCGTGATAGGCTCTGTTTTCATTAGCTCGTAATCTATAGATATATACTGCTGCCGTGTACATTATATCATCTGTACAACCGCCTGAGCTACGACCTCCAAAGAGCTTTCTCAGCTTGCCATGTATCTAAATAAACAACAAAAGTAGAATATCGTACTAAACCAGAAGCATCAACCTCAGCAAAAGCGTATTGGATACAAAAAGGACACGTACAGTCGCTATTAATAAGGCTTGCAGTTGTAAAAAAAATAGAACTGTTCGAGAAATGTAGTTAGTGTACGATATAAAGATGCCAAGTTTAAAAATTGAAAAAATATATACATTATTTGCATTGAACGTTCATCCCAATAGACACGTTAAGTAAATGATATATTTATTTTCAGTCACGCAGGTAATAGCATCAAGTTAACATTCAGATCCTCTCATATTGATAATCACTAATTTAGTACGCTAGTAATGCAAATACTAGCATATGCCTTAACTTTTCTCAAAATACCGTGTTCACAATATATATATATATATATATATATATATATATATATATATATATATATATATATATATATATATATATATATATATATATATGGAAATTTCGTGACAAAAAGTGAATTTTTGAGGGTGCATCATGGAAATTTGGCAGAGGAGACCTGGCAACACTGGTCCAGGAGAACAGTCCGCGCATGGCCGCCGTGTAACGATTTTCTGCTCACATATCTCTACTTTTCATTATTTGATATTTCCGCTAAGGACCATCAATGTATTAAAATATACTAAATAAACCTTCACCATCCTCCAGATGAAATTAAACCAAGAGAGGGATATCACAATCACCGTTTTTCCAGAGCTAATCTTAAACACAGCGAGGGTAGATCGTTGCGGTTGAAAATCTGTCAACAATTTTCACACGTAACCTGTCCCTTGGTGATGTATTAAAATATACTAAATATATTATCTCATGTTCCAGCTTATATTAAACAAAGAGAACGATATTAAAATGAGACATTCTTTTTTTCCTTATCGGAGTAATTTAAACCGAGGGAGAGAGAGAGAGAGCTCGTTGCATCTGAGAATTTTGTAAACTATTTCCACACACCTTCCTAAGTTTATAAATATATTCATTAATTGGAGACACAACAACGTACCAAACTAGCAGCTTTAACCTAAAACAGAGAGATGGCGTCAAAACTTCACTCAGTCTCAACCGTAATAAAGAAATAAACGTATACAAATTAAGGAAGGGAGGAAAGGGGGTTTGAGATTCTAGAGGCTTCACTTAGGGAAACATGGAAGCCCAAGAGGTTTACCGTATGTTTCAAGGCTTCACTGATCTGATGCTTTAGTTATGGTTAGTTTGATTAGGTTAGATTAAGATTGATATGATAAGGTTATAATTGGTTTGTGTTACGTCAGGTAAGATTGGCTTTAGTTAAGTTAAATTAGGTGTGGGTTAGGTTAAGTTTGGTTTATTTTGCAGAGTTAAAGTTACGTAAGGTTTGATTTGGTAAGATAAGGTTTGATTAGGTTTAGATAAGGTGTGGTTAGGTTAAGTTTGGACTGCTCAAGTTAGGTAAAGTTAGGTTTGGTTAAATAAAGTTTGGTTAGGTCAGGTCAGGAAAAAGGTTGGTTTGGATAAGTTAGGGTTTGCAAAGAAAAGTTAGCTTTGGTCAAATTAGGTGTTTTTTTTTTTTACGGGGAATAGCCCACCCGGGCACAGGTCGTCGACCTACAACGGGGCCTAGGGGGTGAAAAAATAAGAGCAAAAAGAAATTAGAAATAAAAATAGAAGAGAAAGACTTAATCTACACCACGAAGATGCCGGAAAACCAGCTTTTTAAAATGAGACAGATTGTAAGAGTATGGAAACACAGAAGAAGGCAGAGCATTCCACAGTTTGGCTGTGTGAGGAAAGAAGGAGGATGTACTATAACGGGTTATTCTAGTGTGACCGACATCCACACAGAAACGGTGGGCACCTCGGGCAAGACGAGTGTTTCGAGCCCACGGCCTTACCGGCGGTACACAGGATGCCAAATCCACCGAACATTGCCTGTTAAAGTACCTGTAAAAGAGAGAGTGAAGCAACATTGCGGCGAAGAGAAAGGGAAGAGAGATTATCAACTGAAGGAGGAGAGTTAATAAGACAAAATGCCTTTGATTCCACCCCATCTGACAGTTGGACAGAAGAGCCACCCCAGATATGAGAGCAGTACTCCAAGTTAGGACTTGAAACAACTGCCCAGGAGTGAAGTAAGGTTTGGTAAGCTTTGGATGGGTTAAGCTAGGCACTCTGTTTTGGTTAGGTTAAGTTAGGTAAGGTTTGGATGGTTAAACTAGGCATTCTTTGGTTTGGTTAGGTTAAGTTAAGTAAGGTCAGGTTAGGTTAAGTTAGGTAAGCTTTGGATGGGTTAAGCTAGGCACTCTGTTTTGGTTAGGTTAAGTTAGGTAAGGTTTGGATGGTTAAGCTAGGCATTCTTTGGTTTGGTTAGGTTAAGTTAAGTAAGGTCAGGTTAGGTTAAGTTAGGTAAGCTTTGGATGGGTTAAGCTAGGCACTCTGTTTTGGTTAGGTTAAGTTAGGTAAGGTTTGGATGGTTAAGCTAGGCATTCTTTGGTTTGGTTAGGTTAAGTTAAGTAAGGTCAGGTTAGGTTAAGTTAGGTAAGCTTTGGATGGGTTAAGCTAGGCACTCTGTTTTGGTTAGGTTAAGTTAGGTAAGGTTTGGATGGTTAAGCTAGGCATTCTTTGGTTTGGTTAGGTTAAGTTAAGTAAGGTCAGGTTAGGTTAAGTTAGTTAAGGTCAGGTTAGGTTAAGTTAGGTAAGGTCAGGTTAGGTCAAAAGAACGAAACATGTCACAGGAGAGCGAAACGCACTTAAATTATTGATCGCTGGCGGCGGAGCTCGTAACCTTAACTTGGTGTTAGTGAAGGACCCACCGAGCCCCTGCCTAATTAAGTGACGAATACCTGGACAGACAAACACACCTTGTAGGGTACACGTTGTGGTGGTGGTAGTTGTGGTTGTGATGGTGGTAGTTGTGGTTGTGTTGGTGGTAGTTTTGGTTGTGATGGTGGCAGTTGTGGTTGTGGTGGACGTGATCTCTGGTATTTACAGCTCGCTTGGTTTGCAAATTAACACCCAGAAGACTGAGATTTTTGTCCAGCCCATTGTTCCACCAATAGAAGCACCGCAATTCTACATTAATGGAGATCCTATGAAAATAGTAAACCATTTTAAGTAACTTGGTAGCACTCTCACACCCACCTGCTCACTGGATATGGAAATTCAAACCAGAATCAATTAGCCTCGGCTGCATTTGGACGTTTGAGAACAAGTCTTTTTCAAAAATGACCTCAAATACGGAACGAAGACTGCAGTTTATCTCGCGGTCTGTATATCTACATTATTATATGCCTTAGAAACCTGGACGCCCTCCAGACGCCATATCCAAATGCTGGAAAACTTCCACACTAGATGCCTTAAGCGTATCTTTGGAATATCCTGGGAAGACAGAGTGACTCATGAAGAACTATATCGTCGCTCAAACACGACCACCATTGAAACCACGCTAGCCAAAAGACACTTGCGCTGGCGTGGACATGTTATCAGGATGCCAGACCACCGGCTTCCAAGACAAATATTACATGGCAAGCTCTCACATGGAAACCGGTCGGCGGGAGGACAGAAACAGAGATATAAGGACCACTCTAAAACTCTACTCAAGTGCTGTAATATACAACCAAATTCACTGGAGCAACTAGCTTCAGACCGTTCCTTATGGCGCTCAATAAAACGAGCCCAACGACATCAGAGGGCTCAAGGCATAATTCCTCTCAATGAACAACATCCCTGTCACCTATGCAACAAGATCTGTGCCTCCAGGATTGGACTCCATAGTCATCTACGGTGGCATCAGAAGAATAACACATAACTCATCAATCATCTCATCTGGAGCAACGTAGTCATCAACTTCAATGGACTGCAAGTAAGTGGTTATGATGGTGATATTAGTGGTTGTGATAGTAATAATTGTGGTTGTGATGGTGGTAGTTGTGGTTGTGGTGGAAGAAATTGTGATTGTGGTGGTGGTAATAGCGGTGGTAGTTTTGGTTGTGATGGTGGTAGTTGTGTTCGTTGTACCTGTAATTATGATGGTGGTATTTGTGATTGTGATATTTATGGTTGTAATAGGGGTAGCACCATCAGTATCACAACAATCACCACCATCACAACTATCACC